TCTTTATCTTCACTTCTGGCTTCTTTTTTTTTACTTCATCGTTATAACTTATTTCTTCATCTTCATATTTATCTTTATTTCAAAGCTTAATTTCAAATGTGTAGTGAAACAACAGGCGAAACATGTCAAATTGAACATGTTGCAGCAACATCTATACACAATTCGAAAATGTTTAAACGACGGTTTTGGCCGTAATTTTCAACCAATTGTGAAACCATAAAAACTCTGCTCTGCTGAAATCTGTTCGGTAGAATCGCCAAACGAACGGAGACAAAATTTATGTTAGCGTATTAATATATAGACTAGAGTGTCAGTTACTGTCGAAATTCGACAGTTTTTCTAGTTTTAGAAGCCTTGGAGAGGATTTCTAACTTAACACGCAGCAAAACTTATACGGTACAAATTAACTAACCGGAAAATCTTCTGCTAAATCGTAACTAAATTTTTTTTATACCCGAGCGCACTTGTGCACAAGGGTATTATAACTTTGTTCACATAACGGTTGTTTGTAATAGGCAAAACAAATCGAGATAGATATAGACAAATGTATACATAAATGATCAGAATGAAAAGAGAAATCGATTAAGCGGTGACTGTCTGTCTGTCCGTCCGTCCGTCCGTCCGTCTGTGCACACGATAACTCGAGTAAAAATTGAGATATCTTAACGAAACTTGGTACGTGCACTTCTTTCTGCCGTAGGACGGATGGTATTGAAAATGGGAAAAATCGGACAATAACCACGCCTACCTCCCATGTAACGGTAATTTTCAGAAATACGAAAACTGCGATATTTTAGTAACTACTGAAGATAATTCACTCAAAATTGATATTTACAAAAAGTTTTAGACGACAAATAAGAATATTATAAATTTTTGGAAAATGGGCGTGGCCACGCCCACTTATGGTTACAAACTTGGCAGAGTTGTTGGCCTTGACATAACCTACGAAATTTTTAAAATCGGACAATAACCACGCCCGCATCCCATATAACGGTAATTTAGAGAAGTACGAAATCTTCGATAAATCGGTAAATATTGAAGCTAGTGTGTTCAAAATTGATGCTTGCAACAATTCTTTACCAGGAAATACGTTTATGGTAAAATTTTGGAAAATGGGAGTGGCACCGCCCACTTATGATCATATATATATATCTCGGTAACCGTTCTACCAATTTTTACTAAACTCGGTGTGGTTATTCTACTTGCCACATAGAAGCAAAACGCTGAAAATTATTATTATTATTATTAAAATTACGGCCGCTTTTCATATAACGGTAAATTTCAGAAATGCTTGAAACTTCAATATTTCGAAATTTAAGGACGCTAATTTACTCAAAATTTATACACCCCGGCTTGCCATGTAGAGGTAGCTTTCGGAAAGGTGAAAAACATATATTTAATACTTGCGCCGGGTATTTAATGTTCGGCTCCGCCCGAACTTAGACTTTCTTACTTGTTTTATCTGAGAAGGTCTTTGGAGGACTTCGGCAGGGCTTGGAATTGACCTGATACATTCAAGTTTATCGATAAATTTCCATGATTTGATACATATCGATAGTTCGATGAATTTCAAGAACACTAAAATTCGATAACTCAACAAAATTCGTTAACTCGACCAATTTCGATAACTGTGAAATTCGATGGCTCGATAAATTTAGATAACTCAAAAATGTAAAAACTTTGGATACCTTTATAAATTTTTACTTTTGACATCTCCACATTTTTCGAAAACTATCTAAACATTTTGATAACTCGTTACACTCTGTTAACACGATTAAATGCGATAAGCAGTGATAAATCGATAAGCTTATATAACCTTGAAATTTCGATAAATCGATTTATTTTGAAAATTCCATAAACTTTGCTTCGTTGAACCAACCAATTTCAGTAGATCAATAATTATCGATAACTCTGTAAGTTGAAAGAACTCCATGCATTACGACACCTCGATATATTTCGTTAAGTCTATAAATAATGATAATTCAATAAATATCGATAACTTGATACATTTCTTTAACTTGACAAATTTCGTTAATCCCACACGTTTTTATAGCTCGATAACTATCCGTAAATTTGGACAACTAAGTTTCTGTGTCTATAAATTTCGACAACTCAGTAACCATTGATCAGTTTGAATAATTCGATACGTTGCGATAACTTAATAAGCATGGATAAATTTTGATAATTGTAAAGTTCGATGGTTCGATAAATTTCAGTAACCTTTATGGCTGATTTTATTTCGATTCCTATCGGACAATTTCAGCTCTGTTAACCTAATTCTTATGTATTTATCATTGTCTCCATTTTCGCCTTTATCTCAATTTTCGCCTTTATCTTCACTTTTGCCTTTTTTATCTTCATCGTTATCACTTGTTTCTTTGTCTTTATTTCAAAGTTTAATTTCAAATACGAAGTTAAACAAAATGCGAAACGCTTGAACTGAACAGGTTGCAAAAACAACCATAAACAAATATGGAAATTTTTAAACGACGATTTTCAACCAATTTCGAAACAACAAAAACTCTCCTCATCTACAGAAAATTACTTTCCAACGGTGTTTCTGGCTTTGAAATCTGTAACTTTACATTGGTCTTCATCTTTGTTTTTATCTTTCACATCTTTGCTTATATCCTTTTCTTTTTCTATTCACGTAGATGAGATGAGGTGCGATGACGTGATAAGATGTGACGTGATTTTATGTGATGTGATAGGATGTCATGTCATGTGTTGTCATATCCTCTGATGTCATGTCATATGATGTCATACCATATGATCTCATATCATGTAAGGCCACGTCATATAATGCCATGTGATGTCATACGATGTCATATCATGTGATGTCAAGTCATGTGATGTCTGCCATATAATGTGATGTCATATCATATAATGTCATGTCACGTGATATCGTGTGATGTGATATCATATTATGTGATGTCTCTTCATATCATGTGATAAAATGTGATGTGATGTCATGTCATGTAATGTGATCACATTCCATGTTCCGATTAGTGTATCGATAACCCTGTTGATAACTGTGTTGATAAAAATACCCATAACAATATCCATACACATATAGAAAAATACAACGATTGTAAAATCCATTAATTCAGCGATAAATATAACAATCATCAGTACCGATTATTTACATATCGTTAACAATATAAGTGACTAAATCGATAACAAAATCAATTATTTAATCGATTATTATACCGATAACAATATCCATTATTGTATCGATAACTATACCGATTATTATATTGATTATTATATCGATTACAATAGCGGTTATTTAATTAATAACAGTATCGATAACAATATCGAGTTTTATATCAATACCAATATCTTCATCCTCATCCGTTTCTTCATATTTATCTTTATTTTTGCATATTCCTCTTCACCTTTACCTTAAAGTGTTTAAATTTACTTTGATCTTCGTTTTTGCCATGTACCTCTAGGCATCTTTGTTTTTGTTTTAATTCTCAAACCGCTAAACCGCTGAGAACCATTACCATGTGCATTATTCCCCTTGAATTTGACAATTTACTCCCAACCAACGAACTGCCGCTAAAGAAGTTTCACTTCATAAATTCAAGAAATGTTCTTACCCTTTCAGTTACCCTAATTCTTAATTCTTAATTCTGTCATTGTCTCCATTTTCGTCTTTATCTTCACTTCTGGCTTCTTTTTTTTTACTTCATCGTTATAATTTATTTCTTCATCTTCATATTTATCTTTATTTCAAAGCTTAATTTCAAATGTGTAGTGAAACAACAGGCGAAACATGTCAAATTGAACATGTTGCAGCAACATCTATACACAATTCGAAAATGTTTAAACGACGGTTTTGGCCGTAATTTTCAACCAATTGTGAAACCATAAAAACTCTGCTCATCTACGGAAAAATGCCTTTTGAAATCGGTTCGGTAGAATCGCCAAACGAACGGTGACAAAATTTATGTTAGCGTATTAATATATAGATACTTCAGCCTAAAAAATCTGGTTTTAAGATAAAGTTTGCTGAAAGAAATGTCTTTGACCAAACGACTATAACTTCATTACGAGCCCCTTTTTTACTTAAGATAATGTTTTCTAAAATATCGTTTACAATATAATGAATGGAAATTTAACTTTTGTTTTCTAGCTTCAAATAATGATATCAAAATCTACTACAGCTGATTTGCTAAAAATGTATTACAAACTGGAAGAATTCTTCACTCAGCAATTCAAGTCCTCGAAGCGTGTATTTTCCAGCCTTGAGCCGCGTTTGCATGAGCGCAATGCTAGCATGAAGCGCAGACAGAATCGTGACAAGAAGAAAACCTCAACAAATGGAGCTGCTGATGCGGCAACTAATATACCCGACCTCAGTAATACCGACGCTCGCCATCATCGTCACTGGCAGAAACCATTGGAACAGGCTATCGGCTTAGTAGTACCTACTCTGGTGACACGGCTACCACGCAATGGCAATGTCCTCGGTGGCACTGTGGAGCTGCATGGTAATAACATTTCTTTGGCTTGCTTCCATGGTATCAACTTCAAGTCAAAATCTTGGGCTTTGTTCAGTTTAAAATCCCCCTCTATAAATTTTGCTACTGAAGCGCATCAAGCGCAGGATACACATGATGTGTTTGTAACGCAGACGCTGACGTCTTGCTTGGGGCAGTCGACGGAGGTGCAACAGCAAAATCACTCCATGGCTATAGTTAGCAGAATTACACGCAATATAATCTTTCCACCGCAGTTCAAAGCACTTAATGAGTGGTTCCACTATGCATTCGCTAATAGCGAAATTGATTGTAAGTTACTAATATTAATAAGCAAACTTTATCCTAAGTAACTTTGTTGCTCAATTGTTGTTTATTTTATAGCAGTGGATCGTTTTCCCACATTGGAGCGTGATCGTGAGATTGCTTCAAATTCCATAGAACGTAGTCGTGCCGCAGGCGCGAGTGCAAGCAGTTCCTCGAAAACGCAGGAACACAATCACAACCGTGAGGTGATCTTTGCGCTGCCAAGTTTACAGCTGAATTTCAAGACCGAACACAGACAAGGCGCAACCACACCAGAACCAAAAGGTAAATAAGATTTATTTAGAACATTAATTTGAAGCTTCTATTTAAGATACTATCTCTATTGCCTTCACAGAAATTAAGCCTGAGGTACTCTGTAGTTTTATAACAGAGTTTGATGATCACATCTTTGTGACCGTTGATGCTGATGCATTTTTCTTCCTGCACGATTTGATCACATCGTATGTTAAGGAGAAGGAGAAAATTGTATGTTGCACAAAAGTGTTATCATTTTTTCTACTTTATATAATTTTTTTTTCAGATCGGTACCCAATCGACACGTGCCGCTTCGCCAAATCTATCACAGAACTTAAAGGGTCAAGTGAAGACCTACGTCACCGACGAAATACACAAAGATACAAATAAAGCATCGTTCGGTGGTATGAATTCCGCTAGCGGTAATGGCACTACGTCCATCAATGTTTCGAGCACTACATCACACCAGAGCAGCATGCATGTCGTTAGTCACAGTAAAACGGATGTTACCGCAGCTTTTTGTGTTGACAATAGAGACGTCACTACTTTAGCATCGTCATTAACATCAACAGCGGCAGCAGTAGCTAGTTTGACTTCGACCACTGCCAGCACGGTAACGAGTGAATCGGCCAGTGGCGGATCCAAAAATGAAAATCCTATAGATTTAGAGTCATTTGTACGCGATTGGCGTCGTTTCGAATGTCAGACTTGGCATTTAGAACCAACTGTGCGACTGCTCTCTTGGGCAGGAAAATCTATTGAGCCATATGGCATTGATTACATATTGAATAAGCTTGGTTTTGCTCATGCTCGTACAACTATACCAAAGTGGCTGCAACGTGGCTTTATGGATCCGCTAGATAAAGTGCAAGCGCTAATGATGTTGCAGCTGCTGACGATGGTGCGGGAAAATAAAGTCGAAAATGCGTCAAAATCGGACTAGGCGAATTAGTTGCAGTCTAGTTCAAACCTAATTTTAGTACTATTTTTAGCAAATAAGTTATGAACGGATGGTCGTAGAACGGTATAATACGATTTCATTAGTCTTGAATGCCTTGTGTGATGAAGTTTTTGTAAAAATTTATAAATGACTTTCACGATTTCGTAAATTTTTTTTAATGTAAATTATGCAATACTCGAAGTATTATTGAAAGTGTAATATGTTTAAATATAACCCAAGGCGTATGCCTTGACATAACCTATTTTGTTCGAATTTAGTAGTATGATAAGTAAATTGTTTATTCAATTTTTTTAATAACTTTGGAGTACGTACATACGTGGCAGATTTTTATGCAACTTTTTTTTTATCCCCAATAGATAGCTAGAGGAGCTAAAAGCCCTTCCTGAGAGTCAAGAGGTTTTCCACTCTGCATTACTTTCTTTTTGTATGGAGTGGCACAAATTCTTCTGCTTTCGCTACCCATATATGTACATGTTTCTATAGGACGTATTCTAAAGCTGGTGCTGGGAGGATGGTTCCGTGCGCAGAAGTGGAAAACTTTTGACTGCCATTCACCTGGGAGTGGCCAGAAGCGATTCTTGTGCGTACGGTTCAAATCGCAGCTCACAACGTCCGGATATTTATATCCACGTATCCTCTGGGTAGCAACCAAACACCCGTTTGGGAGCGAGCTAAAGTGAGAAGGCGTAAAACTTCGCGTGCGCTGGGTTTGGGTCCCGCCACGTTAAAACCCCGCCCAATGAAAAATTCCAACAAGCCTCGGATGAGACCCCCTTTTTCTGATGACGACCACGGCAAACGTATAAAGGACTATGATTTAAGGGTATGCACCTGGAATATCCGGACCCTTAATGGGGAAGGTGCCTCTGCCCGGCTGGTTGATGTCCTCGGGAAGACAAAGGCTGACATCACCGCCATCCAAGAAATGCGATGGACGGGGCAAGGTAAAGTAAGCGTGAAGCCTTGCGACGTCTACTACAGTTGCCACGTAAAGGAGCGCAAATTCGGTGTTGGATTCGTGGTAGGAGAGAGACTCCGTCGCCGAGTACTGGCGTTCACCCCGGTGGACGAACGTCTAGCCACAATCCGCATCAAAGCTAGATTCTTCAACATCTCGCTCATCTGCGCCCATGCCCCGACGGAAGAGAAGGATGAGGCGTCCAAGGATCTCTTCTATGAGCGCTTGGAACGTACATATGAGCGCTGCCCCCGACACGATGTCAAAATCGTGCTTGGCGATTTTAATGCCAAGGTGGGCAAGGAAGGGATCTTTGGCGCCACTGTCGGAAAATTCAGCCTCCACGACGAAACGTCCGATAACGGACTGAGGATGATCGACTTCGCCGGAACCCGAAACATGGCAATATGTAGTACTAGGTTCCAGCATAAGAAGATCCACTAAGATACATGGCTGTCTCCATATCGAAAAACGAGAAACGAAATCGATCATGTTGTGATAGACGGAAGGCATGCTGCAAGCGTTTTGGACGTACGTACACTCCGAGGGCCAAACATCGACTCGGACCACTATCTTGTTGTAGCCAAGATACGCACCCGCCTCTGTGCAGCAAAAAATGTGCGCCCAACAATGCAAGGAAAGCTTAACGTCGAAAAGCTGCAATCACAACAGACGGCCAATTTATTCGCCACTCGACTCACACACCTGCTCTCTGAGAGCACTCTTCAACAATCCGACGTACGCGAGCAGTGGAACCACATTTCCCGATCATTAAGTACCGCCGCCGAAGAAGTAGTTGGATTTCAGCGAGCCCGAAAGAACAACTGGTACGATGAGGAATGTCAAGAAGCCGCAGAGAAAAAAGATGCCGCCTACAGGACCACGCTGCGATCGGGCGCAACGCGAGCCATGTGGGACCGTTATAGGGAACTGAAGAAGGAAGCGAGACGTATTTGCCGCAATAAGAAGAGAGAGGCCGAAATACGTGAGTGCGAAGAGCTTGAGATGCTGGCCGACAGGAAGAACGCCCGAAAATTCTACCAGAGGGTTAGGCGACTTACGGAAGGTTTCAAGACCGGGGCGAACTCCTGTAAGAACAACAATGGCGACCTAGTGACCGATGTCCAGAATATACTTAAATTGTGGAGGGAACACTTTTATAACCTACTGAATGGTAGCAGCGCTGAAAGTAGTGAGGAAGACGAACCCGAGTCCCCAGTCGATGATGATGGAGTAGCTGTCCCACCGCCTGACTATGACGAGGTACGAATAGCGATTACGCGGCTGAAAAACAACAAAGCTGCTGGAGCTGACGGCCTGCCAGCCGAGCTATTCAAGTACGGCGGCGAGGAGCTGATGAGGTGCATGCATCAGCTCGTATGCAGAATATGGTCAGATGAACGCATGCCCGACGACTGGAATTTAAGTGTGCTCTGCCCAATCCACAAGAAAGGCGACCCCGCCATACGCGCCAACTACCGCGGAATTAGCCTTCTAAGCATAGGTTACAAGGTCTTATCGAGCGTATTGTGCGAAAGACTGAAGCCCACCGTCAACGAGCTGATTGGACCTTATCAGTGTGGCTTTAGGCCTGGAAAATCCACCATAGATCAGGTATTCACAATACGCCAAATCTTGGAAAAGACCCGCGAGAATAGGATCGACACACACCATCTATTTGTCGATTTCAAAGCCGCTTTCGACAGCACGAAGAGAAGTTGCCTTTATGCCGCGATGTCTGAATTTGGTATCCCCGCGAAACTAATACGGCTGTGTAAAATGACGTTGAGCAATACCACCAGCTCCGTCAGAATAGGGAAGGACCTCTCCGAGCCGTTTGATACCAAACGAGGTTTCAGACAAGGGGACCCCCTTTCGTGTGATTTCTTTAATCTTATGTTGGAGAAGATAATAAGAGCCGCAGAACTGAACCGCTCAGGCACAATACTTTATAAGAGCGTACAATTGCTGGCGTATGCCGACGACATCGATATTATCGGTAAAAACAAGGGCTACGTCTGTTCTGCCTTCTCGGGATTGGATAGAGAAGCAAAGCGAATGGGTCTGGTGGTGAACGAGGACAAAACGAAGTATCTCCTGTCAGCACACAAACAGTCAGAGCATACGCGTCTTGGCACCCACGTCACTGTTGACAGTTACAAGTTTGAAAAAGTAGACGACTTCGTTTATTTGGGAACCAGCATTAACACCAATAATAATGTCAGCCTTGAAATCCAACGGAGAATCACTCTTGCCAACAAGTGCTACTTTGGGCTGAGTAGGCAATTGAGAAGTAAAGTCCTCTCTCGTCGTACAAAGATCACACTCTAT